AGTCTCTGTCTATAAAGAAGTTATGATCTACTAGGACACAGAAAATATACTACACACAAATAACTAAGACAAAGCAAAGGTGGTAAGACACTAGGACTTACTTCAGGAGAGGGTAGAGACTAGAAAAGTATTACCAGACTTGGAGAAAATTATGCAGCATTTCAAGGAAGAGCCTTGAAGGATGGTTGAGGAATTCCAAAGAAGCGGATAAAAAGCATATATAAAGAGCATGTTTGGGGAACATGCCCAGTTTGGATGAAGCACAATGTATATGCCAGAATAGGTGGAGATACAACTAAAAAAGACAGAATGGCTAAGAATAAATGGGTAGAAGACCTTAACAGGTATTTCTCCAAAGAGGAAATACAGATGTCCAGTAGATATGAAAAGATGCTCAACGTCACTAATCATCAGAGAAATGCCAATGAAAACCACGAGATATCACCTCACATTTGTCGGAATGGCTATCATCAATAAATTAAAAAACAAGATGTGTTGGCAAGGATGTGGAGAAAAGGGAACCATCATACACTGTTGCTGGGATTGCAAACTGGTACGGCCACTATGAAAAACAGTCTGGAGGTTCCTCAAAAAATTAAAGATAGAACTACCTTTTGACCTTGCAATTCCACTTCGATTTATCCAAAAAAACCAAAACACTAGTTTCGTAAAGATCTATGCACTCCTATGTTCATGGCAGCGCTATTCACAATAGCCAAGATGTGGAAGCAACCTAAGCACCATCCACAAACAACTGAATAAAGAAGATGTGGTACATACATAATAGATTACTTGGCCATAAAAAAATCTTACCATTTGCAACAACATGGATGGACCTAGAAGGTATAATGCTGAGTGAGATAAGTCAGAGAGAAAGATAAATACCATATGATTTCACTTACATGCAGAATCTAAAGAACTAAATGAAAACATACTCACAGATACAGAGAACTGGTGGTTGCCAAAGGGGAGGTAGGTTGCAGGGCTGGGTGAAAAAGGTGAAGGGATGAAGATGGACAAATTAGTAGTTACAAAACAGTCAAGGGGATAGAGTAAAGCATAGGGAATATAGTCAATATTATTGTTAATGGCTGTGTGTAGTGCTAAATGGATGCTAGAGTAATTGGGGGATCACTTCATAAATTATATAAATGTCTAGCCATTGCACTATATGTCTAAAACTAATATAAAAATATAGACTGGGTAAGGATCATAAAAAGTTATGTCAACAATGACATATTATCATGAATAACATGAATAAATAGAATCTGAATGAGAGGTATTCAGTAGACAAAGGAGAATGTCATGATCACAGCTGCACTTTTGTATTTATTAAATATCTATAATGTCTTGGTGATATAAAGGTGAATAGAAACAGTGGCTCTTGACCTTTTGGGGGTGTGCCAGTCCCGGTTCTGTTTGCCTTTGAATCTATTCTCTGCCTTTCTCCTACTCTGTACTATATGACAGGAAACCTGACCCCATACAGGCAATGTTTCCTAGGCTCCAGGTCAGCTGGCTTCTGGCTGGGTTCAATAAACGGGAGGGACCAGTGTGAGACTGGAGGGCAGTTGGAAGAAGCCGCATTTTTTTTTCCTCTCATTCCTTTTCTGCCTTGGTAGAATCTCTATGACTACTGTTCTCTCACCAGATAAACCTACCTTCCATATTCCAGAGTGAATCCAGCTTCTGGGTTGCCTCATCTCTTCTGTCCTTCTGACTACCTTAGTGACTTTCAGCTATTGCTACCTTCTGAATTGGCTTAAGCTGTTTGTCTTCTTAGCTTTTCCATCATCAGTGTAACCAATTCCTTCATTAAATCTCTCCATGTTAAATACTCAGATTGGTTTGTTTTCCTGAATGGATGCTAACTCATGCAGAAACAAACCAACCTATTTAGGAATTTAAAGAAAGTTCTAAACACTTGATCCATAAAAATGGCCCCAAATGCACATAAACCTTTATAGTTTTGGGGAGCCCAGAATTCTTGAAGCCTGTCTATTAATTCAGATTAAGAATACTGAATAAGATAAAAAGATAAGTTTCAGTTTGGGAAGATGAAAAGTTCTAGAGGAGGGTGATGGTGATGGTTACAGAACAATGTAAATAAACTTAATACAACAGAACTGTATACTTAAAAATTGTAAAATGTTTAAATTTTGTGTATATTTTCCACACACACAAAAAGTAAACAAGTTACAATAGAACATGGCAAGGGTATAACAGAAGTAATGTTCAATGGTATGGGAACATTAAAGGAAAAAACACTAACTGTACCTGCTAAAAGAGGTTTCAGAGATTATATTAAATCTGAACCTTGAAAATAAGTATACTAGAAAAATACTGCAGAAGGAAGAGAATAGATAGGAATATTTGGAGAAACTGCAAGTAGTTTCTTATACCTGGAGCACAGCATAGATGTTGAGAAGTTGAGATGGAGAGGCACACAGGATCAGTTCCACAGGGCACTTTGTATTACATACTGATAAAAACCAAACTAGTGGCCCAGTGGCAATAAGCAACTTTGATGTATTTTGGCCTGTGCAATACTTAACGAAATTCCAGAAAGTTAACAGCTGGTTATAGCTGAATAGCAAGAGCTGTTTGAGTAGTGAGATACAAGTCAGTGTAGTATGCTGAAGAAGGAAAGGTAGGTGAGGAAGTAGAGCAACTATGTGAAATTCACTGTTCTTTGAATAAATTTAACTTATCAAAGGATGACAGTATTAGAATGTGAGGTGGGGTACAAGTGAAATGTTCGATGTGTGTGTATGTGCAAGGGTAAAAAAATCCTAATTATGTAAACTTTAAGCGTTTACTTCTCTATTCTTAGCATTTGGCAGTATCTGGAACATACCAGGCATTCAAAGATTTGCTCAAGAAAATATCATGAAGGGGCCGACAACAGAGAAGGATGAAGATGGGGAGAGGGTGCTGACAGAAAAAACATGAGCAAATAAAACTGTTAATATTTAAAGCCACTAAGTTTTGGAATTATAGACCTCTATGTGTTGATATGAGCTTCAAGATATATAATGCTAAATGAAAAAATGCAAGAGCAGTGAATGTGGGGAGATTTTTTTTTTTATTACATATTCTTTTGCACAACTTGAAATTCTTGGTAAGTGGATAATTGTTTCAGCTTTGAAAATAGGTATAGTGTGAATGAATGCATTAGGCAGATTTTGTAACAGTAAATAAGATGAAGACTACATATTGAGAAGCCATAACACAAATCCAAAAGAGAAGTAATCGGAAGCATATTGCTAGGATATATAGCAATCAAAATGGAATGTGAGTGACAAAACTAGTTTAGATAAGAAACGACTCTGGAGTTTTTATCCATTGGGAAAAATTTGGAAGTCAAGCATAGCCGCTGTTTGTGAAGAATAAAGACTCACAAGTTGGTATGAATTATTCCAGATAGAAAAACATATTGCTTTTTTAAGATGAGTGGTTCTTTAACTGCGGGTGATTTTGCCCTCCAGGGAACATAGTGGCAATATCAGGAGACATTTTCATTGTCACAACTGTAAGAGGTGAGGAGTGGGGTCCTACTGGCATCTAAAAGATAGAGGACAGGAATGCTGCTAAACATCCCAGTGTACAGGACAGTTCCCCATAAATATTTATCTGGCAGCAAATGTCAGTGCTGAAGTTAAGAAACACTGTTGAAGACTGTGGTTACTGAAGGATATTTGGATTACCAAACTGCTAAAACTCAAAAATTCTTAAGCAAACACTGCATGGAAGGAAAAAAAGTATGTCAACGTTATCGTGAACACTGAAAGTCTACTTTAAATTGGTATACATGTGAGCCTAATAAATACAACAATTACGAGATAGCTTTTTCTCATAGATACAGATGTAGGTTAACTGTTGATATTCAATTCTGATAAAGTGGGCAAAAGAATAGCCAAACATTAACAAAATATTAAACAAGCCATTAAATTAGTTTTTCCAAAAATGGATGGTGGAACCACTACCCTCTAATATTTCCTGTAAAATGTGTGTATCAACAGCCTGTGCACAAACACTATTTCTTTGGACAAGAATGAGTATTTAAAAAAAAAAAAAAGACAAATGGGTTTTTTAAAACAAAAGAATGGTAGTAATGGCTGTGGATATTGCGGTAAGTTTCATCACAGATGTTTAGCATTTACTTTCAAAGATAACGCAAACGATGTCTGTAAATCATTGGCTCCAGTTTTGAGCTTTATGCGGTTCTCGTTCCCAGCAGTACAATCCTCGTTATTCTTTCAGGGGACAAATAACAACAAAACCCGTTTTCCACACAGACGATATACCCTGACAACTGGCCGTGGAATTCACCCTCTTCAAAAGGAGGAAAAACTAACCAGGACAAGAAAATTCATCTGGAAGGCGTATTTCCTCTGTGAAATATTTTGCTAATCGAAATAGAAATTGCTGCTCTTTTAAAATATGCAACTGGCATTTCGAACCTCAACACTGGGTGACTTATTGCGGGGGGAGGGGAGAGAGAGGGAAGAACACCCATTTGCCCGAAATTCGTAGTTCGAAGGGCGACTTATGAGAAGGGCGTCAGGAAGGTCTTTCTACAAAGCTGGGCGGCTGGGGAAGTCCTTATTTTTCCTACTTTGGTCTCAGCCTTGACAAGGAAAAGTGTGCCCAAGGTTGAAACACACGTAGCCCGTCCGTCACGTAGACAATCTTCCTTCAAGGGTCCCAATTAAGTGTGCAGGCCCAACTTGCCCTCCGAATCAGGGCCTCGGTTGTTCCAGCCCGAGCTTCTCTTCAGTCCTCCCCTCGCCACGCAGCCTCTGAGGAGAGAAGCATCCACACACAAAGAGGCGAAAGTCCCCGAGCCACCGGCTGAAGAAGACTCACTGCCAGGCTGAAGTTGTAGGTGGGGAGGCAAAACCCTAAAGCTTCCCCACCCTGGGAAAGCCTTCGGTCCCAAAGGTCCTTCGGCCCGGCTTAGCTGGTCCAATATCCCTCCCTCCCGCGTCCGAACTTACCCAATACCAGCCGGGCTACGTCCGAGGGTAACAACATGATCCAAGCCGCAGAAGGAACCGCAATAAGACACAAGACTCAGGAAAAAGCCAACACAGCGACAGCTCCTGCGCCGCATCTCCCGGTTCCACTGGCGGCACTGAACCCGCGGCAATTTGTCCCGCCTCTTTCGTTCCACGCCAGCCAATCGCTTCCGCGGGAGAAAGAAAGGCGCCGAAATGAAACCCGCCTCCGTTCTCTTTGGAACTGTCGTCATTTCCGCCCTCATATTTGGAGAGGTGGGATTAAAGGGAGGCGAGGAGGTGGGCTGCTTGCCCAGGAGCGCGAGCCAGAGGGCAAGCAGCAAACGCAAGGGCGCACGCCATTGGTGGGCAAGGCGCAGGCGCGTGTCTTCAGCGGAGCCCAAAATTTTGGGGGCGTGCGTGGAGCGAAGAACCAGGGATGTTGGCGCGCATGGGCAGACGGTGCCCGGGCGCCGGGTCAGTTCATTTCTTCCTCCCAAGACGGGCGCTGCGTGGTCACGCCGGATTTGACCCGGAAGCGGGAAAAGTGCGTGAATAGCGGGCTCGAGCGGCTGTAGCCGCAGGCGGAGGCTGGTGAAGCGGCGATTTGGGTTGCATCCTTGCAACTTGAAGAGATTGCGCTTTGGCTGTCGGAGTCCATCGGTAGGGGCACGGAAGCAGTGCTGTCGGGGTTATTTAGTGGTATCCGAGCCGTTCTGTCCTAGCCCTCAGGCTGCCAATCTTACGCACTGCTGTCGAGCGGCCCTTTACTCCTCTCTACACGCTATCTATCTATCCCGGCCTCTCCGAGCCACTAGCGGTTTTAGCCATGAACCTTTTTCTAAATGCCCTAAATTGAACCCTCTTGCGCGTCCCGTTTTAACTACATGACTAATCATATTTTACTCCCCTCTAATAATTTTAATCAGCGAGCATCCGTTGAGGCTTAAACTTACGGTCGCCTGGTTAAGATTACCGGCTCTGGACTCACACTGCTCTCCGGAGTTGGAATTCTGTCAGCTGTGTAACCTCGCTGTACTGTCTTCCTTGTGATAATCCTTGCCTGTGGTGGCATTCGAGAGCGTTCGCTGCTGTTTTTACCAGGTACAGATAAATAAAAAGACTAACAATTCCGAATGGTAACGTGATAGAACTGTGATGGTACAAGGGTCTGAATGAGGTTCTGTGGAAAGTCAGCCTGGGATAATTTTTTAGTTTGTGCTGAAACTTCGCAGTGTTAGATTGCCCACAAGGATGGGAGGAGCCTTCTACACAGAAGGGGTAGTGCGTATAAAGGCAGAAAATGTAGAAGGTTCTTGAAGCTCGAAAGTGAAGTTGGATATTAAATGAAATAGATTTGGGCATTTCAACATGTTGAAGACATAGAAGTGGATGAAATCCCACTGAGAAAATACAGAGTGAGGAGAAAAGTATGTCCTTTCAGAGGTGGGTAGAAGAACAAACATCCAAAGAGATTTATGAAACAGGAAATAGTGATGATAATCACTAATGATAACTTTTTGGGCATTTGCTGTGTTCCACATACTGTTAAACTTGTACTTAAATCTTGCAATAACTTTTTTTTTTTTTTTTTTTTTTTTTAGTTTCAAGTATACAGTACTTTGGTTAGATAGACATTAATATAGTTTACAAAACAATCCCCCAATTGCTTTTTCTCTCCTCTGGCTCTCCACCTAGCCAAAACATTAATGCTGACTGCATTCTCTATGCTGTGTTCCCCATCCCAGTGACCATTTCTCAACTACTAATTTGTACTTCTTTAACCCTTCACCCTGTTCTCCTAGCTCCCCAATCTTCCTCCGCTCTGGCCATCACCAGATTATCCTCTATATTCATGAGTCTGTTTTTGATTAGTTTGTTCTTTTTGTTCCTTAGAGCCTGCGTATAAATGAAATCATATGATATTTATCTTTCTCTGACTTGTTTCACTCAGCATAATAACTTCTAGGTCCATCCATGTTGTTGCAAATGGTAGGATTTCATTTTTTTAATGGCTGAGTACTGTTCCATTGGATATAAGGACCATAACTTGTTTCTGTTGATGGGTATTTAAGTTGCTTCCATATCTTGGCTATTGAAAATTGTGCTGCCATGAATATAGGGGTGCATAGATCTTTATGAATTACTGTTTTAGTTTTCTTTGTATAAATACCCAGAAGTGCAATTGCTGGGTCAAAAAATTTTTAATTTTTTGAGAAACCTCCAGACTGTTTTCCATAATGGCTGTACCAGTTTGCAATCTTACCAACAATGTAAGAGGGTTCCCTTTTCTTCGCATCCTCACCAACACTTGTTGTTCTTTGATTTATTGATGGTAGCCATTCTGACAGATGTCAGGTGACATCTCATTGTGGTTTTCATTTGCATTTCTCTGATGATTAGTGACTTTGAGAATCTTTTCATATATCTATTGGCCATCCGTATTTCCTCTTTGGCAAAGTATCTGTTCCGGTCTTCTGCCCATTTTTTAATTGGATTTTTTGTCCTTGTTACATTGTATGAGTTCATATACATTTGGATATTATCGTCTTATCAGATGTATCATTAGCAAATATCTTCTCCCATTTACAATAACTCTTTAAGGTAGGTTCTAGTATTGTTATTTTATCATTGAGAAAACAGAGGCATAGAGTGATTATCTAACTTGCCCAAGATTAGACAGCTTGTAAGTAGCAGGAGCAGCATTTGAACAAGTAGTCTGACTAAAGAGCCCATACTCTTACCACTAGAAAAGAATGGCATGCCAAGGGCAGGATTATATTTAGGAAGATGGGATTTGGCATCATTGTCAGATTTTGCAGAGATATCAACTTGATTGAGATCCAGAATGGATTTTTGGATTTGGCAATTCCGAGGCAATTAGGAAATATGGATCATTTCAGTTGCATGTTGAGAGTGGAACCTAAATCGTTCTGAATTAATGTATTAATTGAATTCAACTTATCTGCTGACACAGGGTAGCTGTACTACTTTCTAGCTCCTTTAGTTTTCTTTCAGTTCCTCCAACATACCATGTGCTTTTCCGTCTGAGGACCATTGGGCTATGCTAGTTTCCTTCCCTAAAATATTGGTCTTCAAGCTCTATTTGATTAGCACCAGTTCATTCAGATTTTGGCTTTATTGTAACCTCTTCTGAGACTTGTTCCCTGACAGTTTATCAGAAATGATCCTCTTTTGTACTTGTGTATTTGTTTCCTTTGTGTCATATATCACATTTTGGAATTATGCATTGATTTATCAGTGTACTTGTTTATTGCCACTGTTTCCCACTAGTTATGACTCCAGGAGGATAGGATTTATGTCTTATATGTCTAGATCCTTCTAACATGGTACCTAGAACACAGCAGTTGCCCAGTAAATATTGTCGTAAGTATCAGTGAATGAACATCTCCTATTTATATAGATAGCGAACTGTTTTGTTTTTTTGAAAGTAATATTTGAGAAATGGAAAGGGAAAAGAACAAGCTCAGAAAAGCCACAGCTTAATAAAGAAGTTTAGAGCTGCCTCTTTTTGGAGGTGTCATATGTTTAGTAAACATGCATTTTTTTTTTCACATTATAAATAACATCTTTAATGTATTTAGGAATAAAAATGGCTGTCTTTATAGTTCTTTGGATATTGCTTAAGTGTTTTCATTGGTTGGAATCCCAATTTTATTTTCCATATTGATTCAATCAAGAAGGCTTTAAACAAAGATTGAGCAAGAAGGGGGACAAATTCTAGATAAAACCGTAAGGAATGGAAAAATAAAAATTGATAGGCCTGTCCAAATGAAAAAAACTATCAAGTAAATAACATTCTGTAACCTATGGCAGAGTTAAAGAGGTAATAGGGGTCACAAGAACCAATGAATACAAGAGAAATAGAGCTATCTGCTAATGAAATATTAGGTAGTTTGCTCTCACTGAGAGTGTTTAAAGAGAGAGCATTAATTTTGTAGGAGGGATTTCTTCCTTTGTAGGAAGATTGGACATGGTCTCAGTTCCTCCCAATTTTAAGATTCCGTGAGATGAAACGGGCAGAGGAGCATTTTATCTTGAAAGATCAAGTAGAATTTATATGGATGGATGAAAAAAGGACTTTCCTCATCTTTTTTCCTTGAGATATATGTACATGTAGATATAAAAGCATACATATGAGTGTATTTCTTTATAAACAGTCTGATAGAAATGAAGCCTCTTTTTGTAAAAAGGCTCAGAAATATTAGAAAAATGCTTTTCTTATTAGATTTTTCTTAAGATTATCAAAGGAAGATTTGCTTGTATCAGAAAACTTAAAAAGAGGAAAGCTATTGCAGTGGCATTAAGGCAGAGTATAGTTGACCTTTGATATTTGCAAGGGATACCACTGTAGCATATAATTTCCTTCATTTTCCTCCTGTTTTTATGTATTAAATGAACTATAAAGGCAGTTGAGATGAAGGTGCTAGGCAAGGCTTAGTAGCTCTGATAACCTGCATATCTATTCGAAAGCATAAACACTTTAAGTTTGACTCAGTTAAATGATAAGTCATTACGTATAAGAAAGAGTGCTTTTAAATAGTTCAGATGGTCAGTGTTAAATCTTTCAGTGCTCTTTCCCTATTCTTTGCATGGCTATCTTCTGTTCATTATGTTTCAATTTAAATGTCTTATTTCTTAGGTCCCAGAACAATAAAGTAAATAACATGTTTCATATTTTAATCCTGCTTCTGTACATGAAGCACTCATTTGCATGTTGAAGCTTTGTTTTGTTATATTCTAAGAAAGTCTCATTTAAATATGGAAATGTTAATAAAAACTATTGTGCCTTTGATCATGATATGCCTCTAGTTGTACAGGTAGATCCAACTATATATTAAAACCATAGTCTGAAATAATTTTATATATGTATTTTTTTTTTTTTTACAGACAATGATCTGTTTTCTGAAATTCTGAACTATGAGTCTAGCACTTAATGATCTGCTTATTTGCTGCCGTCAACTGGAACATGATAGAGCTACCGAACGAAGGGTAGTAAATTACTTAAATTCAGTATTTCCTTGAAGCAAGCATGTGGTTGCTAATCCATTATTATGTTCCTTTTTTTTATTTTCAGAAAGAAGTTGAGAAATTTAAGTGCCTGATTCGGGATCCTGAAACTGTTCAACATTTAGATCGGCATTCAGATTCCAAGCAAGGGAAATATTTGAATTGGGATGCTGTTTTTAGGTATTCCATTCTAATTTTTTTACTATATTTTTCTCTCATTTTTATTTCTGTTGTAATTTTGTGTGTGTGTGTATTTAGATCTTATTTATCTTTGTTCTCTATATAACGTGTCTTGCATGTGAAGTTGGGGTATAATATTTATCTGAAACAATTTTTAAAAGATGTTTATATAGACAAAATTAATGTTAAATTATTTTTCAATAAAGTGTCTTAGATATGTCTCACTCAAGATTAGAGAATTCCTTTCATATCTTTAAAATTAGAGAATAAAATTAAGTTATAATAAGTTTTATTATTTTGACATCTTTAAATATTGCTCTAAGTAACTTCTAGGTGTTATAATAAAAAAAATAAAATGAATTTTAGATTCCATATGAATGCAATTAAAAAAACAAAACTTAGGTATTGGAAACATACAATTGATTGCTGATACATTTTTACATTAAGACAGTTTTTAACTATGAAGTATATTTATATCTGAAATAGCTTATAAGACTTTGGAGATATAAATAAAATATTTTAGTGTAGAATACTGAGTAACTTGAAACAACATTTGCAGTCTAGAGGAAGTCTGAGTATTTACTGTTCCTGTGTTTTAGAATAGGTAATCTATTTGATTTTTTACCTCTTATTTGGTACTAGATTATTAGCAGTTTCAATGCAGATAACATGATAAATGGATGCTTCTTTTCCTCAGTTACTTAGTTTGTTTCAGATACCACCAATATAGTTATTATCTAAAGATGAATACTATTTTGCAAAAGCTGATTAGGTAGGGCAGATAGGCACTTGACACTTCCAATTAATCATGAATGCCTTCTAAGCAGTCTTCATTTAATTGCTAAAGTCGTTACCAATGGCCTAGGAAAGAGGTAGGTCATGTATGGAATAACAGAAATAGGTGAAAGAGAATTGAGAGCCCTTACTAGCACTGCAAGCTTTCAGTGATAAAAAGAAAGCAGACAGTAAAGCAATAGAAAATCATAGAGGTTACAGATCAAGAGCTTTGCAGACAAGACTTTAAATTGACGTTGTGTGGCTTATGCCTTGATAAATTTATTTCATTTAGCCGGTACATTGATTGAAGCAACGTGGTTTAAAAAATACTCTTTATTATGGCATGAAGGACTTTTTGAAACTATTATAATTTAAACATTTCATGAGTTTCTGAAATTCCATTTTGGTTTCTTGAAGATTTTTACAGAAACATATTCAGAAAGAAACCGAATGTCTGAAGACAGCAAGACCAAATGTGTCATCCTCAGCACAAGCCACCAGGCAGAAAAAGATGCAAGAAATCAGTAGCTTGGTCAAATACTTCATCAAATGTGCAAATAAAAGTAAGTGCTGTGTTATTTATTATAAATAATTGGCTTAATAGGTTATCATTGTATGAGTTTGGTCTGAATATGGTGAAATAAAAGTTGAGCACTAACTCTAATTTCTAGTACATATAATGATTTTTAATATTATAGGTTCAGTATTTGGAGGAATTTATGTAGGCATAGAATGATACAGTCTCGGGTTTGAAAAGATTAAAAATTATTATTTCAACTACCCATTCTTCTTGGATCCCTTCTTTATGTCCTTAGCACTTAAGTAGCTATAATGATTAAACATACCTTTTGAGACTTTATTTTCTATCTTCGAATAGCTTTGAGAGAAAAACCTGTCTTTTTGTTACTGCTTCTGTTTCCTGAGATAATACAGAAAAATTCTAATCAATTTTTCAGTATGACATTCTTTAAGATATTTGAACTTAGCCATGGTATTTCCCCTAACTGCTCTATGCTGAACAGACCTATTTCCTTAAGTACATATGACCTGATTTTTGTGTCACTTTTCTGAGTATTCTTCAGTTTAATTACCTCTCTCTTAAAGAGTGGGACTCCACCTCGTAAGGTATATTCTGATTGGTACAGAGTGGAGCAGGACTTGACATTTTTTATTTTATTCTTTTACTAATTAATTCTAAGATCACATTAGCTTCTTAGCAATCAGAACTCACACTTTAAACTAACACTGTGCTTACTGTTGATCTAAAAAAATACTATTTATTTTTTTGCTCCTGATGAGCTACATATCTCCCATTAAATTTGTACACTCGATATTTTGAAGAGTCAATCTTTCTGAACCATAATGCAGGATCTAGTAGGCTTATGTAAGGAAATGGGCTTCATACAATGTTGAAAAAGTAGAAGCAGAAATGTTTGTTTCGAGACTTTTGGGCTCAGATTTTATTCTTCATAGATAAGGATGTAGCTTTGTGATATCAAGTTTAGTTTAAAAATCAGAAAAACCCAGTGTTAGTAAACATTATTAAGTAGAAGGCCATAGATTGTTCATGAGTGATATTTCAGAGTAGAGATATGAGACTTGAGTCTAAAAAACGTGGTTTAGCAAAAGTTTAGTGTTTCAGCTCCTCTGTGATGCCAGTTTGTGTGGATAGCTGCAAGCCCTTGTCAAGGACTCCAGCAGAGACAAAGGAAAGCTGCACTGAAATATTCTACACCTGCTTTTGCCCTGTATGATAGCCCTGCACTCATTAAAATTTGTATTTTTGGCTACTAACATTGGGTTCTTTATAGATCGTTATATGTACTTACAGAGTTTGTGAGTAAGATATTTAGCCCATTTGTAGCCCACTAGAGAAGTATGCAGTTTATAATTTTGCTTTACAGTGAAAAAAAAAAAACCTTTAATTGCAAAATTAACAATGGATATCACATTTTAAAATATACGAAAGTATCAATATGTTGGTTTACAGATATGAATTGATGAAATTACCAATGTAAGATCATTTAAATGGTTGAAAAGTGGTGTTTTTTATTTAAGACCTTCTTTTCTTTCAAGTTCGACTTTGCAGCTTAAATATCTTTAATCTTAGAGCAAAACCAGAGTACTACTATCATGCCATCTCACTTCAGTTATTTTTTCAAAGGGTTGAGGGTTGATGGGAATTTAAATGCAAGTCCAGACTTCGTCACACTTGCTTGGTGGTGTTATCTAAAATACGATGAAAGAAACAAAGATTAGGAAAAAAAAAGAGGCAGCTAGGAAGGAACCAGTAAGCAAATATTGTTTATTCCTTTATGTTTGCTTCTACACAGACAGCCTAGACATTCTAGAGAATAGAAAACCCAACCGTGAAAAATGTTAAGTTCCATGAGGTTCCTTCGTCTCTACAGCCAACTAAGTTGTCCTTTTCAGGCAGATTCCTTA